TGGTCTGCTATTTTGATTTTGGCCGTTTGATTGTAGTAAATGTTTCTGATAATTCTAAGATCTTTGTTGTCAATTCCAATTTCTTGCATTAGAGTCATTAATTTGTCATGTTTCACTCTGTCAAATGCCTTCTGGTAATCTATAAAGCATACGTATATGTATAATATTAAGAAAATCAAAAAAGTTAAAACAAAAATACTACAAAGAACAATATACATTGCCGATCCTACTTCCCTCTCCCCCGACATGTTTTATGAAACATCAAAATTAAATTCATAGATTTTAGAGTAACTGAACTAACATCTGACTAAGTTAATAGGTTTTGTTACGTTCTAGTGATATAATAATTAAAATTATCACGTTGATGCCATTTTGTTCAATTATTTTAAATAACATTATCATCATCATCGCTCTGCTTTACAACCCGATCGAAGTCTTCATCAATGTTATCAAGGAAACTTGTTATGGGTCTCCGAAGCTTTTAACCAGTGCGTTCTACCAGTCCTCACATACGGAGCAGAAACCTTAATTCTCACAAAAATATCAGCCGAAAAATTGAGGACACAACGAAAGATGGAGAGATCAATGCTTGGAATAAGCTTAAGAAATAGAATAAGAAACGGGGGAGTTCGTAGACGAACCGGAGTGGAAGACATTATCGAACATATTACAAGGCAAAAATGGAGATGGGCAGGACATGTTGCAAGAATGAAAGACGACAGTTGGACAAAAAAATTGCTTGAGTGGAGACCACGGACTGACAAGCGAAGCCGAGGAAGACCCCCAACGCGATGGACCGACGACCTCAAAAGAATCGTGACCAATTGGATAGCAGAGGCGCAGAACAGAAGCAGATGGAAAAATCTAGAGGAGGCCTATGTTCAACAATGGACAACTCAGGGCTGATTGATGATGATATAACTGATATAATTCAAACTCGTATCTTCGTGACCTTATCCCATTTTCATTTATGGCCCCAAAAATCTTTCTAAGAAATTTTCTCTCAAAAATACCAAGTCTTTCATCATTTTGAGATAAGGTCCACGTTTCAGCCCCATATAACAAAACCGGTCTTGTATATATTGAGCTTTACTGCACGTTTTATATTTTTATTTTTTAAATGTTTCTGGAGACTGTGAACATTTCTGTTTGTTATTGCTATGCGTCTTTTTATTTCGTCGCTGGTCGTGTTTGTTGCGTTTACTAGCGATTCAATATGTGAATTCTTTGACTTGCTCAAAGGTATGGTTGTTGATTTGAATTCTCTGTTGGATATTTCGGGGGTTTTTAGAAACCAACGTATATTTGGTTTTTTCCTCGTTTACTACCAGTCCTAATTCACTTGCTGCGACTGCAAGCCTTGTAAAACAATGCACCATGTCTCTCATACTTCTGCCCACTATAAGTATATCGTCAGCGAATGCGAGAATTTGCGTCGATCTACTAAAAATAGTTCCATCCATTCTAATATTTAATTGTCTGACTGCTTTTTCCAAGGCAATATTAAAGAGGAGACACGTCAGCGCGAGACCATTATTAATGTCAAAGAACTTTTTTCTCCCTCAATTCTAACGCATGAGTTTAACTAACTTAGGTGGGATCCCAAAGTCTATCATTGCATTGTATAATGCAGTTCTTTTGGCACTATCATAGGCTGCTTTGAAGTCGACGAAGAGATAGTGTGTATCTATGTTATATTCTAGTGACTTCTAGAATCTGCCTATATGCTTGAATTTGATGTGTAGTTGACTTTCCAGCAGTAAATCCGCATTGATATTGACCAATAATATCCTTTGTCAAATGTTAAGTCTTTCAAACAATACATCGCCGAAGATTTTATATGCAGATGCTAACAGAGTAATGCCTCATAGTTTTCACAAAGAGTGGTCAACATTCCAGTTGATCACCCTTTTTATTCAATTTAGGTTTTATTGTTACGAAAATAAGATGCGGTGATTGTTAATATTTGAAATAAATATTTTAAGCTGAAATTGATAATGTATGGTCTCATTGGAAAAACTTAAAATGAGGTACTACTTGCCGTATAATCCCATTTAATTTTATTCTACAAATGGTCAGCCGCGTGCCATTTTGAATAATTGTCTTATTAAACGTTATAAAAACAATAAATAAGCAACTTTGTTCGGTTTACGGAAAAAATATTTATTTAATTTTATGATGCAAAAAATACGTTCGGGAGCAGATTTCAGCAGCGCACTATATATAAAGAAAAATGTAATAATAAACAATGCTTTGCGATTATTTTTCCTTGTCTGCAAAATTATTCTTGATTAATTTGAATCTACACAGTTGTAAATGAATGTCTTTGTTGATGTTTTAAAAAAGAGAACTTTGTAGTAATGTAGTCTTATTCGCCATAAACGAAATATTATAACGTTTAAAATTTTTATATTTTGATTGTAGAAACAACTCTCTATACAAATTACTGAAATTATGTTAATAAAATAAAAACATTCACAGCTCAAGTTTTGATTACACTAATCGAGCTTGCTCGATCGATAAACTGCATTAAAAACCCTTATTTAAATTTTAAAAGTTATCTAATAATGAGTATTTTTTTGTGGAATATGTGAATTATGGAATAATCTATTGTGATCTATGTTTTTTACGATACTCCCTGTTTGTCCGATATAATACGTATTTCTGAAAAGCACTCTGGCAAACTCTTTCATAGTCACCTGGCGAATATAAAATTGTTCTTCCTATATAAAATGACATTGCAAACCATTTAATTATGTGTTTTGCAGCAAATGATATTTGTTTTTGTGACTGTATTTTCCAGCATTTAAAATAATTTTTTTTAAATTAGTACGTAGCCTTTCTGTCACGTGCAAAACTTAGTTTATCTTCTAATTATACTGAGACATAACTAATCAGCTTCTTTCAATGTTTAACTCTGGCTTACTCGGTATAATATCCCACTAATTGACCACTTCTACTTTCATAGTTCGCAGGATCGCCAACTTTTTAAATAACATTAAAAATGTTGTCAGAATCTGAAACTATTTGCGCGCCTGACAGTTTTTCCTTGATTAAACGTTTATCAAAGATGTTTATGAAATTTCTTTGTAATATTTTTTCATTCATTCTAGCGGCAAGCTTTATTAGTGGGAACCAACCGTGTATAAAATTGTAAATACTTTATTTTGACTTAAAGATTGTTTGGCTAGTAACGCCACCTTCTATCATATCCTTAGTTTTGTATATAGGGAGGTGCAATCGTTTTATTTACTCTTCCCTCTTCTCCACTTGAATTTGGACCAACTATAGTAACCAAATCAATTGTCTTTCTAGAGATTCTTATTTTCCTCTCAAACTGACCCTTTTACTTGCAAGATTGACGTTTGAAGCATTATTCACGCTTGAGTATTAGCCTTTTATTGTTGGAGTAACCAGATCAGTAATTTAACAGATTATACTTGCAATTCGTTTAAATAAAAATCGACGGGAACATTAAAAAAATGCGTAATTTCAGATTTACTTAAGCAGGGGTATTATATTTGATCTTTTAGTTATCATTTTCAGTTTTTGTCAGCGGTACACTATATTTTGTATATAGAAAGGTTTCTGTTACAAGCAAGAAAGAAGTATAATATACATTAGACGTTTAACAATATGATTGACTGTAGTAATAAAAGTGTATAAGAACAATCTCCGTGAACGTATTTCTTATTTGAACGATATAACGTCTAAAACTATTATAACATTTTATATGATAATAGTGTCTCAGTCATACTGCTTTTTTGCTTGATTCATTAATACTATCTTAATGTTATCGACTTGTTCTAGTCAGATATCCTCAGTGTAAGGATATTAAATTTATGATTAATATCAATGCTTAATTTAATAAATAAACAAAATATTTAATATCTGTACATATATAAAATGAATACCTTTTCTTACCCTTTTCAACATTTCTTCACTGATAGGTTTAAGAATATTCTTTTTGCCTGAGGCGGAAAGGAACACACTAGCAACTAGCATTCAGAGTACAGATTACCAACCAACTAAAACTACCCCTTCTTCGGCCAAGGCACCCCTGGATGAGTTTAATCGGTGGAGGGAACCTTGGGTACCTTGCGCAGTCTGAAAATTTGAGAGGAAAATTGGAAAAAAGATTCTTACGTAAAAGCAATAAGAACCACTTAATATTTTCCTGGGATTAGCTCAAGGAAAGAGCAAGACAGAAATTTCTTTTAGAAGCTCTGAAAATAAGTTGTGATGATAATACGGATGATAATTCTTCTTAAGTTCGTAAGAAAGGAAACAATAAAACTAATAAAAATAAAATCATGGAAATATTTTTTTTGTTTGACAGTTTTTGAACTATTTTGATGAAGTTTATACAGATAAGATGCCAAATAACGAGCATGTAGAGAAAAGTTTTGTGGCAAATAAGATTGATTTTTATTTGAAAACTGTTTCGCCTACAGACCGTATGGGACGGCAGGTTTTTAAAAGTGGTAGTCAGCAAACTGACAAAATTCGCAAAGATTTATCTATCATCTACTAGTAGTAGTGTATATAAGTGGCTCAGAGGCAAAGGTGACTAAATCATAAAATGAAGTTTTTGTAATAAATCATGTCAAAGTTCTTTAAATAAAAAATTCAATTTTTATGATAAAAAAGTGTAATATCTTATTTTTTTAAGGAAATGCAAATGTTTTAAAACAACATTTAAGGAAAAATCTCACCCAAGTTTTATTATTCTAATTTATGTGTTCAAAAAGTATAAACACATTTGCCGTTACAAAAAATATATTTCTAGAGCCACAACAACCAAAACAAAAATTAAGATATACAGAAAACAAATTTCCAACGTATTAGCTAAAAACATATTTTGGTGTTCCAAAGAAATTCGGACCACTAACCAAAGTATAGCATGAGAATGCAGGTCTGCAAAGCAGTCACTTCTTATTGTTTCTGTAAGAGAAATGACAAACAGTTAAAATTCTTTGGGAAAATAAAATATATACAATGGCACTTTGGATAAATATATTCTGTTACAAGTTAACACAGTGTATATTACATACAATTACTTATTTCCACATTTTGGACCAATCTGTACAGTAACGGGAGACTGGCCTAAAACGGCATACTTGGGTAAAACGGAACATTACCGATTTTGAATAAACGGCGCAAATCTGGAGTTGTATTCCACCTCAGAACGCTACTGTCGGTAGTACTGAACGGTAGTACTTTCGACAACCTTTATGAATCTGCGTGTCTCAGTTGTTATACGTTCTGCCATAACAGTGTGTTCATAATTAGTTGAAAGAATAGTCTCCCTTCACTTCTTCTATTGTATCATACAATAGACATCCCGATATTTCATTAAGGAGACTTGAAAATAACTCAGTAGCTGAAGCAATGGCAGTTAACAAACCAAATATAGCAAAATTTTTCAAAGCATATCAAGAAGTTATGGACAAGTATAATTTTCCTCACGATCGAATCTACAATGTGGATAAGACTGGAGTGTCCACAGTGCTGAATCTACCAAAAATATTTGCTATTACTGGTAAAAAACAAGTTGGTACTATCGCGGGGCTGAACGCGGAATACATGTCACAGTTGTGTGCTGTACAGACCCAACTGACAACTACATTCCCCTAACATTTATATTTCTGAGAAAAAATTGGAAAACAGATTTATTAGAAGGGGCGCCTACAGCTTCAGTGAGATTTTCTCAAGATTTTTCTTCGATTTTTTCATCGAATTGAATTACAGATGAGATCTTTATCAAACGGTTGAAGCATTTCCAGACATAATAGAAAAAAATAGAGGTCTCTCGCTTGTTGATCCTAATATTTTTCTGATAATTTGTTTTCTCCCTCGAATACAACAAACAAGCCTAACCCAACAATATTTGTCAGTCAACGCTGATAAAATTCATAAATAATCGCAGATTGAAAAGGATAAATTGTACGATGCAGCAAACAACACGAAAAATGTTGAGTGCGGTATTGCACTCCAACTGTTTTCACCATCAGTCCCTCTATAACGGAAGTCACACAAAAAGAAACAGAAAATTCAAAGGAGACATGTGAACCTGATGACGAAGATGACGCCTTTTTATTATTTTGTTGCGAAGCGTTCTCAAAATCCAAGCCAGGGGAACCATGGATACGATGCTGCAAATGTAAGCAGTGAGCGCATGTTTTTGTGCAGGAATTTCACCAAAAACAAGAACATACTTTTGCGATTCTTGCATTTGAATGTATGCCATTTTGTTCTGAACTATTGAATACTTAAACTAATTGAAGTTTTTTATATTTTTGTTAAAATTTGGACTATTGTTGATTAGAATTTGTGATATTAGCGACAATAGTACAATCTCAGATCTCTAGCGCAGACGAATTGCATTTCATGCTTTTTTTGTATTAATATGCCATTTTAGACAGACTTGTTGGGCTAAAACGGTTAATGCATTTGAACGCATGTTTATTTTTTCTGTAATGGATGATTAGTTTCGTTTTTTTGTAACGTACAGGGTGAATACCAAATAAATATTACATCTGACGCAGTTTCTACTTTTTCTTTAAGTTGACTTATGTTAAAAGTATGACACTTTCAAAAAATAGTATGCCGTTTTAGGCCAGCCTTCCCTATTAATTGAATTTAAGAGCCTTTAAAAAGGATAAATAAATGATGTTTATTTATTCAAACTTTCCCACAATTCATCATCTCCCCACTTATCATTCCACGTATTTTCCACCTTTTTTTGTGTTTCTTTTTCCTTGGGCTTTCTTTCTTTTTTGTTACTTTTACTGGATCTATCTTCTGTTGGCGATGTTATACTATTTGATGAATAAGTTTTTAAATCTGATTGGTAACTACCATGATCTTCATTTTGATAACCACTCCAATCTCCTTCCCAGTTTTGATTGGGAGATTTAGGGCTTGATGCTCTAAAACACAAAACAAATAAAAGAATTACTATTATGTTGTAAATAAAATAAGGTGACGGTGTAAAACTAGCACGAAAAATTATATATGGCAGGTACTAAAAATAATAAGAAAAATAAAAATCTTTTTACTTTATATTTCTTTATTCAGAACCCACCTCATCACCTGTTGCACAAGCCGATATATTGAATTATGAAATACCATTGATGGAAAAAAATCACCCTGGAATAAACCAAATGAATAGAAATATCGAGAAAAATGAAAATAAAATCAAGAAAATTCTATATTTCTAAAATAAAACATAAAAGTATATAAGGTTAGTTCCTCTCACATTTTGAAGGTTCACAACGTCTGTCCAATATATAAGGAACTATAACCCAACAACACATAGACTCAAATAATATCCAACAAACAGGAACTGTCCAATTTATCAAGTTTCTCAAAGTGGCGTTCTACAACGACAAAGGACTAACCCAACACACCCAAAAAGACAAAGCCTTCAAAACACTGTCATAATGATGGTATCTGAAACTCACTTTAACAATCGCAGTTATTTCAAATGTCCTTTTTATATAATATACAACACCAATCACCCATACAATATAATCACAATCAATTAAGCATTACAAGCACAGTAAAATTACTGAAGACTATTTGCAAGGAACCAGTTTATCAGTAACACGAAAGCAGCTCAATCTAGAATCAATATAATTCAAGTATATGTTCCCACAGCAGAAAAGTCGCATGAAGAGCTCGAACAGTTTTATAATGAATTACAACAAGCTTTACAAGTAACCAAGTCTAGAGACGTTACAATAGTCATGGGAGATCTAAATGCAAAAATCGGTAGAGGAAGTCAAGGTGATTTTATTGGAAACTTTGGACTGGGCATCCGTAACGAGAGAGGAGACAGATTGATTCAATTCTGCCAAGAGACCGATTTTATTGTCGCGAATACTTATTATGATTTGCCGCCCAGAAGACTCTATATATGGAAATCTCCAGCAGACAACCAACATAACGTCATCAGAAACCAAATTGACTACCTTCTTATCTGCAAACGTTACCGAAATTCCATAAAATCAGTAAAATCATACCCCGAAACTGGTGTGAGATCAGATCACAACCAAGTCGCAGGAAGGTTTAGAATTAATCTAAAAATGCTTGTGGCTAAAACTAAAGTAGTAATATACAAGTATCCCGTTTGAAAGATCCATCAACAAAAGAGCAAGTCACACTAAAAATTAAAGAAGAGCCCAGCAAAATATAAATTATTCCTACTAAAGATGCGAACAGGAAATGGCATATATTGCTGCTTGAAGGTGCTCTTATACGCATATGTGAGACAACACTAACACCTCTGATCAAGAACACAAATGAAAGGATGACCGGTGCGATTCTGGATCTCGTGGAAGCAAGGAGATCTTATAAAACCAAAAACCATGTATAATATTATACACACAGAAATAATGAAAAAGATCAGAGATGCAAAGGAAAGATGGTATAGTGTCAGATAACGGCAAAAGTTCGACAACGGCCCAGACATAACAGAAGATGAGGTATTAGAGGCGATAAAGCGAACAAAGAACAACAAGGCACCAGGTCCCGACGAAATACCTGTAGACATAATACGGTTAATAGAAGAACAGCAAATTAGCATATTGGTAGACTTATTCAATACAATATACAGTACAGGAATCATTCCCAGAGATTGTCAACATTCATAAGACTACCAAAAAAAACCAAATGCAAAAGAATGCCAAGACCACCGGATAATAAGTTTAATGAGTCATCCGCTCAAAATATTTTTAAAAATTATACACCGGAGAATCCACAACAAACTTGAGCAGGACATAAGTGACACACAATTTGGATTTAGAAATGCACTGGGAACGAGGGAAGCCCCGTTCGTTGTGAATGTACTTGTGCAAAGGTGCATGGATGTTAATCAGCAAGTATATGTGTTTCTTGGTTATTACAACAAAGCCTTGGATAAGGTCAGACATAACCATCTTATCGAATTACTTGAAAAGAAAAACTTTAGATATGAGAGATATTAGGATCATTAGCGCTATCTATTATAATCAGATCGCTGTGGTAAAAGAGAACAACGTCTTTTCAAATGAAATACATATTGAGAGGGGCGTCAGACAGGGCTGTGTCCTATCTCCTACTTTCTTCAATTTGTACTCAGAGGAAATAATCCAGGATGCACTAGAAGAACTAACTATGGGAATAAAAGTAAATGGCCGACCAATCAATAATATACGGTTTGCCGACATTATTTTATTAGCGGAATGTCTTGAGGATTTACAACAAATGGTTGACAGAGTGGTAGAAGTCAGTGAAGTAAACGGACTGTCCCTAACACACAAAAAAGACACAATTTATGGTAATTACAAAAGCCCAACAGCGCCAAGAAAACATAACAATACATGGAGAACAAATTAAAAAAGTTGAAAAATATAAATATCTCGGAACAATAATTAACGAAAATAATGAGTACACAGAAGAGATTAAGGCAAGAATAGGACAGGCAATAAATTCTTTCATCAAACTGAAAAAAGTACTCTGCAGCAGGGACATTTATTTAAAAATAAGACTTCTGAGACGCTACGTGTTCTCCGTATTATTTTATGGGTTGGAGGCTTGAACATTAAAGAAAGATGTTTCGGACAGATTAGAAGCCTTTGAGTTATGGACCTACAGAAGGATATTAAGAATAAGTTGGGTGGATAGAGTCAGGAATTTCGAGGTGTTGAGAAGAATTTGAAAAGATAGAGGTTTTAAATACAATTAAAGTCAGAAAACTGCAATATCTTTGACAGGTCATGAGGGGCGAGCGTTATAACTGCAAGGAAGAATACAGGATAGAAGGAGTCGCGAAAGAAGACGCATCTCCTGGTTAAACAATTTGAGAGCTTGGTTTAACTGCACTTCTGCTGACCTCTTTAGAGCAGCAGTATCGACAGTGCGAATTGCCATGATGGTTACCAACCTTCTTATAGGAGATGGCACATGAATCAGAAGTTTATCAGTTGAAGATTGGGAAGTGCAACTAACAGCAACTGTCATTTACTACCTACCACAACATATTGAACATAATATAGCCAAACATGGAGAAAAGTTGACAGCCAGGGACGAATGGAGGATTATCCTGAAGAACGCTTTGGCTTATAACAAGCTGCGATCCCGCTAATGACAGTTATGACAGATAGACATCTCAGACATCTTACAGCTACAGAAGCTACCGAATATTTCCTATGGAAAGCAACTAAACAAATATAATGTTCTTATAATAGAGCTAATTTCTTACAGAGAAAGAAAAACATTTTGCAAAAGATTTTTAAAAGGTTTTTTAACTATATCTTGCAGATGAACATCTTAACATAGCCAATGAAATCCAACTTTATATCTAAAATCTCCTTCTTCTTCTTTTGGTGCCTTGTCCGTATTCAGACGTTGGCCGTCATCATGCTTACAATTTCCTGAAACCTTTCTCAGTCGGGCTGCGCGAAATAATTCTTCTACTGTGAAACCACACCATTGTCTAATATTACGCAGCCATGAAAGTTTCTTTCGACCAATCCATCTCTTTCCTTCCACTTTTCCTTGTATTATAAGGCGAAGTAAATGGTATTTGGGTCCTCTAATTATATGGCCGAAGTATTCTGTTTTTCTCCTCTTTATGATGTTTATGAGCAACGTTCTGAGTTGATCATTTGAAGAACATCTTCATTGAAGTGTGCGAGACCCACGATATCTTTAGGATTCGTCTATAGCACCAATTTCGAATGCTTCTAACTTGTTTAGCATTGTGGTTTTTACGTCCATGTCTCACAACCATACAATAGGATCGACCACACATAACATTTCAGGACCTTCTTACGAATGTTCATTGACAGGTTTCTGTTGCATAAAACTGGTTTCCAGGTCATAAAAGCCTTACGTGATATTTCGATCTGGAATCTCTTCATCAAAGTCACAATTTACATTTAACCAGCTGCCAAGGTATTTGAAATGATTTACCCTTTCTATCTCTTCTCCATTAAGAGAAAGCAGACCTTGATCTATATGGATCTTTCCACTGCCATCCACTTTGTCTTTGAAATGTTGATTTTAGGCCTCTCCGATAACTTGCTTCACTGACTAGATTTAGTATGTTTGGAGATCTTGTAAACTTTCTCAAGAATGCTGTATCGTCCGCGTATCTAATATTGTTGATTACTTCTCCACCTAGTCTTACTCCCTCTTGTCTGTCATCCAAAGCCTCCTAAAGATTTCTTCAGAGTACAGATTAAAAAGAGTGGTGACAAAACACAACCCTGCCGTACTCCACGTTGATGGGTATTTTTTCAGTGGGACTGTCTCCAATTTGGATAGAGGCTACTTGATTGTAATATAAGTATTTCAGCAGTCTTATATCATAGTGGTCAAGTCTGCTGCCCGTAGGCAGTCGAAAAGTGTATTGTGTTGGACTCTGTCGAACGCCTAAATCTCCTTACCAACTTGAAACTCCTCAAGAATTGTACAACGCCATTAAGAAGGGGATAATTCCCCTTTGGATTGGGAAAATAACCCAAATAATTTTAATTCCAAAACCTGCAAATCCCCGAAAGAAATAAAATCCTACAGATCTATTAGCTTGCTCCCCATTATGTCTAAAATATTGGAAACTACTGTTGTAAAAAATAGAGCTAGTTTTAAGTGACAAACAAATAATATCTCATTACCAGTTTGACTTTAGAGTCGACCATGTTACCACTTACCAACTTTCAGGTATAAAAAAAAAAACAGAAAATCTGAAAATTTAATCCTAACAATTACTTACAAATCCTAAAGTCTTACCTGCAAGACCGAAATTATCTTGTAAAACATGATTATACCAGACTTTACCCAATTACGGCAAGGTAATGTATTCGGTCTACATATCCAGAAGTCACCACAGCAACTTACGCAGATGACACACCGCTAGATTCTTCACACAAATATCAGCCATAGTAGTGTAGTATTTTTATTTTCCCATTCCTGTATAAGGTTTTAATTTGCATCTTATACTTGAATATTCGAAAAAGAGTTCGAATAAACATTCGAAATGTATGTCAAAATATGTGTGCCTTCGAGTAAAAATACATAATCCAATTGTTTGTTTCCATTGCCAAATGCCTTGTGTGATTGTCCTTCTTTTAATTCGTTTTCTGTTTCGCCCAGTTATTTCAAAATAATTACTGAGTTTTCAATTAAAATAGGCCAGAGATTGACAGAAAAAAAATAAAACTCTCAAGATCCCTCCTTAGCATGGTACCACCGAGGAAAATTTTTTCGGAGGACACTTACAGTGTTTTACTCTTTCGATAGACTGGAATCCATTTACCATAAATGTCTGGGAGTAATGTTAAAAATAGTATGCGGTAAATTAAATAGTCTGAAGTGAATTATAGGAAGTATTAACCCAGCAAGAAAAAAATAAAAACAAAATAAAGTAAATTAAGTCGTGCAGAATGGTTCACTTTTAGTTATGGTGAAAGTATAATTCAATATAAGTTTTTTTATATTCTGCTACAGCAGACTCAATTACCATTCTGAATATTTTTTATGGAGAAATGCAGAAAGAAAAACACCTGCTATTATGTTTATTTTTTCAACATATTATGTACCTAGTGCTAGTGCCATGTTAGTGTTTTTTGAATGGGGTATATCCTTTAAGTTTTTTGCATGGTTGAATAACCATTGTTTTTTAAACTGCTCTTAATTTGTATGTAGATTGTAATAAGAGATAAATTTTCCTACCTACATATCATGATATGATAATGACCAAGGTCAGTTCTATTTTTCATTTGTTTTATATCATTTATTATTGAGATCATTTTAAATAAAATATTTTACCAAGTCATCGAGATAAATAAAATGTAAAAGACATTATTGTTTTGTAAAATAAAAGTTAATATGTCCTGTTAAACAGAGTTTTTACGATTTAGCTAGTAATAAATAAAGCTAGTAGGTAAAAATCTTGTATTTTTTGTCTCTACTAAACTTACCTTCTCTTGCACAGCAAATACATAATTCTAATCGTTTTTAATTAAGACTAAATAAGGTAAGTGTGATTTTTTTGTAAGAGATTTAACTTATTTGTTCTATTGTGTTTTTATATTTCATTTGTTTATGAATCCTCTAAAATGTAGGATCCTTGAGTTTTCCTTGTCACTCAAAGAGAAGATAAAGTGGCACCCTTTTTCCTTTTTATTTAGTTCTATTTTTTTGTCTATTTTCTTTCAGTTAGTAAAATTCTTTTTTACTTTCTTTCTGACTTCAGTATCCTCCGAGATCTGTAGATCCAGTTACCAAAGCCCGTCGTTGTGTCCTTCAAAACACCTGACAACCGTCTCATAGTGAACAACTTTAGACCTGGAATCCTTCATTTATGTTAAATTCCACGATCCAATACCTAATCTTGGGTTAACTTTGTGTTACCCACGGTAATACCCAACTTCTAGACTTTATTACAGCATCACACAGAGTACAGTCTAATTTTATTTAAAATGTGACCTTTACGAGTCAACGGGACAAATTCTGTGCACGTACCATTTACAAACTGCAAGGGACAATGTTCTTCGGTACCATTAAATAGTCATCCTCTGTAACAGAATCAGAAATAAAATATTGAGGAATGCATTTGGATCGCAGGCTAACAATAAGGAAACAGCTAGAAATTAAACTGGGCAAAGACAAGTTAATAAACCGGAAGCCTAAACTCTCAATCGATAACAAAATGTTGATACATAAAGTCATTCTAAAACCCATCTGGAGTTAGGGAGTTCAATTATAGGGAACAGCAATAAGATCAAGTATAGATATCCTGGAAAAATTTAAATACATTGTCCTTCATGATAATTAATGCACCATAGAACGTTCCAAGCAACACCATCGCGTAAGACCTCAAACTGAATATAATTAAAGAAAACATATATATTTTTTTATAGTGTCCTCAAACTCAGCCAACGATATCGACAGACTAACAGAGCATCCCAATAATCTAGACTAAAACTTAATGAAAACCCGGTAAAAGGAATTCCAATAGAAATCAGAAGTAGAATCCCAACGTAACTAAACGACGTGTGTGACACAGTACTAGTGCCCAATATATATAAATATATAAATATATATATAATATATATATATATATATATATATATATATATGTGTGTGTGTTGTGTTTCCTCCAAGAAGCATTAATTACAGCTTGACACCGACATGGCAATCTTAAAATAAATTACCAATTTCGTTTTGATGAATAGAATCCATTCCTGTGTAAGATCTTGAAGACTTTGTCTAGTATAATCATTGTGCAGATAAGGAGCAATCCGTCTCTGAAGCGTATCCCATACATGCTCGATGGGATTAAGATGTAGCGATTGTGCTGGCCACGGTAAAAGTGTGATATACTCCTTATGAAACCAATCTCTTACTGTTGCAGCAGTATGTGGCTTTGCATTATTCTGCTTGTAACGAAAATCAGGACCTGCAGTAGTAGAAAGTGAAAGAACAACAGGTTATAAGATTCAATTACTATTTAGATAGACTCAAAGTACCTTCCATATCATAAATTATTCCAGCCCACATCATAACTTGTAGACCACTATGTGGACGAACACCCTGTATATCCCCGAGTCCCTCTTGTAAACCAGGTCCTCCCCAAACTCATACTCTTCTTGAATCAGGGAAACAAAACCTAGCTTCATCTATGGACAACACAGAACTACATTCTTGTACGCCCCAATGCACATGTTGTGCAACTCTTAATCTGAGTCAACGATTTCCATGACGTAACATGGGAACCCTCAATGAACGTCTTCATTTAATATATTCCTACTAAATTGTTTATATCGACGCCGACGCCACAATCACGAAATAGTTCCATGACTATCGTTGCGTTTAATAATCTTGTTTTAATAAAATTTTAAAGTAAATACAGACCATCTTTAAAATTTAAAGCACGGTTTTCCTTTACAATTTGAAGCAATCATTCGTACGGATTTGAGACGATGTCACTTTTGGTTAATAAAATAATGCAATCGGCAGATTAATTTTCATGGCATGGCTTAATTTATAGAGAACAAGTTTTCAAATCGACTGGTATGTATTAACAACAGAGGGTTTAAGTTTTTATTAAAAAAAGTGGAATAATAGTGATGCTCCTGGACATTTTTGATGTGTGTAATTTTATATTAGTAATATTGCAACAATACAGAAAAATAATTGTTAATTAAAAAGGTCAATAAAATGTTTATGTTAAGACATAATAACCTTACTTACTTCGAACCTTGCTGACTATTACAACTCCAATCTTCCTCTCTAACATATCCGTTGCCTTGACTATACAATGATGATTTCTCACTTGGAGAATAGTTGTCTCCAGCTACTTCACCATATCCTCCGGCACTGTTGCTCTCATTGCCTAAATTGCTCACTTCTTTCCACCCTCTTTTACCCAGTTCGGACATCTAAACAAAACAAAAAATCTGATGAAATATTTTATGCCTGCGTACCTTTCAGCTATAAATACATTTAAAATTTAAAAATATTGTGAATTCAAACATAACTGTTCGATATAGTTGTTAAATTAGTTCACTTTTTCTATCATCACTGATGCACTCCAAGGAGATCGTGGATAACATGAAGATCTCTCAAGAATGCAATCTACGAAAAAGTTATAAAAAATAAAATTAGGAAGGCGAAGTAACAGGCAGGATTTCGGATGCTGATGGGAAACAAAAAAATCAAAATACTCTGTTACGAAGGCGACGCAATATTGATAGCCCAAGATGAAGATAGTCTGCAAAGACTGGTTCACAGATTTAACAAAAGAATTTAATATGATAATCTCATCTCAGAAAACTAAAACAATAGTAGTCAGCAAAGAACCAACCAGATGTAAAATAGAAATTGATGGCATCAGTATTGAACAAGTAGTGGAAATAAAATACCTGGAAATTACACTGTCTAGCTATGCAGACTTGGACAAAGAAGTGAGAAATCAAGTACAAAAAGCAAATAGACTAGCAGGATGCCTTAAAAGCACTATATGGCGAAACAGACACATTACCACTGAGATGAAATCAAGAATTTATAAAGCCAGTGTAAGACCAATAATGACATATGCCTCAGAAACAAGACCCGACACAGCCACAACGCAAAGGCTACTGGAAATGGCAGAGATAAGAGAAGAAGAGATCGAAAGAGAAGTAAAGACACTAGAAGAAAATGTAACGTACAGTGTATAAATGAATGGACACAAAATATAAAAAAAGAATGGAATAACCACATAAGCAGAATGGAGGAGACCCGTGTCGTCAAAATAGCAAGAGATAAGTCACCAATCGGTAGAAGAAGTATCGGACGACCGCGCAAAAGATGGAGTGACAACCTTCCATAGAGGTATTAATCCGCCAATTGAACAAGCAGAATTGCTTATAAAGAGGAAGAAGAAAAATACCGTTAATATTGTTTATTTTAATGGTGTATTAGCGCGAGAGCGAGTGAGAGAGCGCGAGAGAAAGAGAGAGAAATAATTTAAGGGGTAGAATAAGAATGGAAGATATCCAATCTGCATTTTTTCACGCATAAGGTCTGGTATCATCAATTTTTTATATAAAGATGTGACAAATTTTTTGTAACAATAAAATAATGTATTATTTTACATATTTATGGTGAATCGATTTACACAGTTTAAAGAAAATATTTTGTGACCTCAGTTTTGACTGCATTCGTCCCACATATATTTTATGCGATTAAAAATAAAATAATATGGCGGGAGCCGCAGCACTGTATGTCACATTTTCTCTGCCCATGTACCACAAACATATATCTTAGTATAAAATGTCTTTAAAACTTGTAAAAGCTGTTCTATTAATTGAAGTCGTGTAGATTTGAATTTCCAATTTTTTATTATTTGACTTGGAGCTTTACGTAGTCATAGCTTGCATTGTCCATTACTAATGCGATATTCTGCGGAATAAAAAAGGTTCTGAAACAGTTGGCTTGTGGCATATTTAAGTTAAATATTATTTTATATGGGATTAAATCACAATTAACTGTAATGAAAATTACATTTTAGATTTATTTTGACGTTTTATTTTCCAATCCGAGAGTTGTTTTCAAACATTCTAAAATATAATTTTGTGTGGTCTTAACTTGTAAATGTTTATAATCCCATATAAAATAATATTTAATTAAGGAATGTTAAGAATAAGCCTATTTTAAAACCATTCTTCAAAAACTTCTGCCGTTATATTTTCATGATAGTCGACGCACGGGTCTTTAATATTCTTTGCAAAAATCCAGGCGACAAAAATAGTTATTATTTTCTCTTTATTTGGCGGCGGTGTTTTTATCTCCAGAAGAACTGAATAGAATGAAGAATATTTCATCGAAGATTTTCAGAACAATATTTTCTTATTGAAGTTATATACCCTTGACGTCATTTTTGTAATCGTATCAGGTTCCATAATTACTTGCCTTTTGTCGATTGTGCAATATCGACATACTTTTATAAAATACTCCATAGGCTGACGAGGCTGCCTTAATTCGGTTTTGTCAATAGTGGGTTGTTGCTTCAAATTTTTTAATGTAGGTTAGAGTACATGCTATTCGAATATGGTGTCGTCTTTTAGTTTCAGCAAGTCCTTGTCGTATTACTCAATACATTTGGTGGAACCGGAATCATAAGGCTTCTTTCTGGATTCGATTCGGTGGGATTTAATGTAATTCTTTTCGCTATATTCAGAAGTATTTTAGTCAAATCGAAATTTCACTCGTAGCGGCACGGCAGTTCTGTCCAGTCCTCTTTTAAGTAATATGTATCGTTTTATGATTTATTCCCTTGTATATCTCAGAGTATTCTATTCAATAACTTTGCTGCTTTTCAACTTTAAACTTTGTTCTTTTCCCACTTAACTCATTTTCATGTTACAGATGTCTCCAAAAAATTGTATTCTTTAATTGCATTTTCCTTTTCATTTGTTTATGGGAAACTTGTTCTAATAAAATTTTAAATCTAGTTTCTCCTTTTTTGAGGGCAATTTGTTACTTCCGAATAAAGTTTGTATAGCCTAAAGTAGAGACCAGAGTTTTCTGTCGTTTATTACGGGGTCTTTTAAAGTAACGAAATTGTTATTATTTTTTTTTTAATGAAATAACTAAAACTTTTTAAAAACTGTAAAATTATGGTGTTTTGTTAAAATCAAAACGTCATAGTACTATTAAAAAATTAAATATTAAAATACCTACATATTTACTTATAATTACCTTATTGGTTAAACTAGTAACTTGACAACCAACTTCTTCTAATAGTGTTCCTTCTCTAACCTAATGAACGCAAAAAAAATAAAAATAAGGAAACAAAAAGATAAATTAAGACACTTAAACGTTTGCTATTTTCTGAAACCATGGCTTATATTAATATTTTTATGTAATAAATACACTTAGTGAGATAAATGTATTCAAAATGAGTATAAAAATATTATGAACAATATTACCAATGTATGTTAGATAAAAGCTTGAACCAATTGTGTTTCGACTGTGATCAATTATAACTTTATATTACATAAAAGCCTGTAACTTCAGAAAACTAAAACGAAATAATAAAACTAATAAAAACAGCAAAGAAACAACAAATGGATAACATAACTTAACAAACACAAAAACAAACCTTTTCCCCTACATGTGAACTAACTTCAACTACCTTCTGACTTGCTAATCCTCCATATTTAACTGCGTTTTCGGACGCTTTGCTCGCCAGTTTTGTTGCTGAAGAGGACAGGAATGACCAACCCTGTAAAAAACAATTTATTGTTACCTAACGCAAATACTAATTCAGCGTGTTTCACGACGAGTTTACACTATCTATATATCGGAAACTGCTTACACGATATTTATAAGAATTAGTTTATGAGGATTACGAGTTATGACCAACTTAAAGAAAACATTTTGACAGACATGCCACTTTCAGTTATACCGGAAATAAAAAACTTTGGTATTTTAAAGGACCAAATGGAGGGGGGCCGGTTTTCAACAACCCTTCAGGGAGAGTCTTGTATGCTAACAGTGTCTCTTTCAGCGGTTTGTACTTGCTGTAAGTCCAATTGTTTCGCTAGCCTTCGAATGGTCACTAATAGAAACTTAAAAGGACTCTTTAAGGTGCTTTAATCTGGCCTGCTGAATAGATTGATAGAATGAAATAAAACAATTGCCTTTTAAGCTAGAACTGTAATTGAAAAAGGACAATAAATAGAAACTTATAAATTGTGAGTGAATAACAAATCGTAAGGAACCTAATTAGAAAATTATAGTTTACGAACTTTCTGAAAACACCATAACACTCTTCACATTACGGGTCCCGATTTATTTTTGTGTAACTTGCGCGCGCGAATAACAACTCTCCGAACATTGATAGGTCTATGCCCTACGACTGTCGCTAATTCACTGCCAACCCCTAGCCTCTCCGAAATACTTGTCTATGCATTTTGAATATCGCCCGGTCTAAGGTCAAATGGGCGGAGATTAACATTCTAAGAAATAAGTCAATGCAGACTGGATTTTATTTATGTAATCGATGCGGCGCGAAAATATTTATTTGTTACGAAATAGAATTTTGTGGTTGGAGATTATAGTTCTCCAACAAACACCCTGTATATTATGGCGTTTTTAGGTTCTACTTTAAATTCTAGATCAAATTTGTATAAAGTATCATAGGTCAAAGTTCATATTATTTTTTGAGTTATTCATATTTTTTCAAAAATTTTGGCAGATAGAGACAAACTTTTCAAAGTTAATAGCTCATCCATTTGCAAAAATATTGTCTAGCACACAAAGAGTAGGTAACGTTCTTTCAGATATTTACATCGAAATCGAATTTCTAAATACAGAGTGTTCACAAATGATAGGCACGTCTTTTCTTTAAAATTACTTATCGCAGTAAGTAAATAATTTTAAATAAATACACTGTATTTTATAGTTTTAATGAAAAAAGAAGTAAATTGTCTTACAAATAGTATTAGGGATTCCTATATCTTAAGTTAATACTTTTGGCGAACGTGGCTAAATGTTAAAGGTAAAATATTTATTGTCTTATTTTAGCAGTCTATGAAGATGCCATCATTGTCATACCTGTCGTTATTTCTGGTTAGAGGAGTGCCGGGAGGGTTTGGATAGCGGGAGGCATTGAACACTCTCATAATTCCTCACTCTCAAAATGGCGGATATTTGAAAGAATTGTTTAAAAATTGACCTCTTTCGATTATTTTCAGTCACAAAAACTTTATTACAATATTTGTTGGTCAAATTGTAATTATCAAAAGTTGTATAATAATATAAACGAAGTTTAATTGCCATATATAATAAATTAGATAAAAAAAAATTGTTGAAAATGTGCTATTTTTTATCATTCTAGACGGTATAATCTACATTCATAAATCTCTTACAATAGGAATCAACTTCCACCAAATTGGATTTTTGGGATAAATGTTAACACCTAAGTGATTTATTTTTCTTCTTTGCAATATTTATGGATAAACTTTAAAAAAACACGCATGTTATGCATTCATTACAAAAATTAGAAATTGATATTGTAACTTTTAAAATAAAACATGTCTTTGGAATATTGAGGCGCTAAAATCCTACTAGTTAGATAAATAAAATGTATATTTATTATCTGCGAACTTTTTTTTGAAAAGAGTTTATATGAAATCTGTATTTTTTTTATCATATACTATGATTTATTTCTTACATTAGCTAGAGATGATATGGCTGAATCTACAAATTCTTGAGATTGGCTTCTAGGTGGAGGTTCCATTGTATACCCAAATCCGCTGTATTTCCCTCCTTGACTCGGTGGAACGTCACTAAAATTAAAATAAAGATATATACGAGTTAACATTAAGAAAATACAGTCATGCAGAGTTAAACAAATTTCATTTTAACAATTGTAAATCATGTAATTGTCTTTTTGAAAAAGGTGAAAATTGTTTTACTTTCATTAATGGTAGCAACGGTTTACACAATACACATATACGATATATAAGCATCAATTGTTGTTAAATGATCTGAATACGATGCTTAAGAAAAGTCTGTATAATAGGAAATTACGCGGTATGCAAAATTTTCTTGAAGCAGTTCTAAGGACGCTCTTTTGTTGTGGTAATCTGTCCCATTTTGTTTTTCACTGCAAAATTGATACATATTAATCAAATTGTGACATTTTTTCTGTATCGTTCCTGATTTAAGGTAACTCATCCTCCACGAAGTCAGAACTAAATAAGCCATTACATGACACTGCGTACCAAATAGTTCTTCTTCTTCGCCTGCCATATCAGAATTATTCGTCATTGGCGATCACCATTGCGAAGGCTTTTCGATCTTCTGCAATACGGAATAATTGTCCCGCATTTGATATCCGAGTCCATTCACGAATGTTCCTCAAAAAAGAAACCCGTTTCCTTCCTACACTTCTACGGCCCTCTATTTTGCCTTTAAGGATCAGTTGTAATATTTTATATCGACTTCCCCTTACTATATGTCCCAGATAAGATATTTTTCGCTGTTTAACCGTCTTTAGCAGTTGCCTTAATTTTCATAAAAGTAGTTTTAGTCATTGCTATTCTACGTTTTATTTCTATGTCTGGATCTAGTGGATCCATTATCACAGTTCCCAAATATGTCATTTTGTGAACTTTTTCAACTTGGACGCGTTTAATTGAAGCTTTGCATCAAGATATGGGTCACGACAAGCACTCAAAATTTGGTTTTGTTTGAGTTTATTTTAATGCCAATTTCCTCTCCTACCTCGTGAATACGATCAAGCAGAATTTGCAGACCTTCAATGTTATCTGACAGAATTACTATATCATCTGCATATCTAATCACATTAAGTAGTTACACGGTCGTTACCACGGTCAATATGAGGGAAATTCTCTACGACGTGTGTGTATCATGATCAATCAACAAATCGAAAAAAAAAAAACGGGTGTGACAGTCCAGTGGACTGCCGGTAGAAGTTATACTTCTATACACGCGTTCGCCGTTACAAATTTATATAGGAGTCAATCTGCACAATCATTACATATGTAATGCTATAGGTAAGAGAGAGCAGAAAGAGAAAAATAATTAGTTATATAGGTATATGGTGTATCGTTTTCTGTATATACACATTTGACCTGTAATAGGAGTATAGTAAAGTAAGGATTGTATCAATATTTTAATGAAAATATATATTATGTATAAAAGGAGTTGAATACAAAAACATTTTTTTACACATACTCTACAGTAAAATTCATTGTTTATTTTGTTATTAATATAAAAATTACAATACAATAAATACATAATTCAATATAATAATATAATATAAATTAAAATGAAATATTCATAAGTATTTAAAACTGCCAATATACATAACTTACTTTACGAGGATAAAAATAAAAAACCAACAACTCGGATTATGTTGTAAATTTTCATTTTATTTTAGAATTTAGCATTTTTGTATATATTACATATATTTAAAAAGATTAACGTGGGGCTTTTAAATATTTCAAAAACAAAAAAGAAAAATTCATATTGGGATTCGAACTCACAACCACCAGCGTATGAACCAAACACGTAAAAGATTAGCCAATTAGACATTACACTAACGCATTTCAAAATTGACAGTTCTCGGTCAAACAGTGAATATGTAATTTGAAATACAAAAGCCTAAAATAATTATAAACGTTTAATAAATAATACAAAACATATATACATATATATATATATATATATATATATATATATATATATATATATATATATATATATTATATATATATATATATATGTATATATATATATTATATATATATATATATATATATATATATAATATAGTATAATAATTAAATATTTATACAAAAGAAACATTTTTATTTTCGAGAGGAAGAGAGAGAGAAAAATATATCTTGTCTCTCACTTACTCATTATCTTACATATGTAATATTTTCACAGATTCACTCAAATGCAAATTTCCAACGCCGACCGTGCGTATAGAAGTATAACTTCAAAAATGTTGTCGAAACATGTCATGTTCTCAGTTGATTCGCGGGTGTTGATTTGGTTACACCATGGACGTATAAACACAGATTGACTCAGTTATTTACATAAAACTGTGTAGTCAAAATTATTTGAATAGGTCACATTCTCAGCATCTTCAACTGTTTTCACGTTTTGATTTAAAATTTCTTATTCGCGAGTCGCTGAAAATATTACTCCGTATTTTATACTATACAGGTGCTATCAAACCAAAGGTATAGAGGTGAGTGAATATTTTTTTCACAGAAAACATTCCGTCGATAAATCTTCTAGACAAACTAGATACATCAACCGAAAAAGTCAGAAGTGTTGTTTCGAATAAATCTGTACCATTTTATATTAAACAAAAATCTTTAGCAAACTCTGACCAGATTAGTCTAGTTAATATTTTACATGTATTTGTTTATTTTGATTTTGATTTTTTGAAAGATGAAATTACCGTCCCATCTCAATCATTCCCATTTTCGGCAAAATTTTTGAGAGTATTCTAAATGTTCGTTTGGTAGAATATCTAGAAAAACACAAAATACTTCACTGTAATCAATATGGCTTTAGAAAAAAAGTGTAGCACTACACTAGCTATACAGAAAATTGTGAGAGATATAGTTGATGGCTTGGAGGAAGGTCATTTTGTGTCTTTGTGTGACTTATTAAAAGCTTTTGACTGTGTTTCGCATGAATTACTGTTGGAAAAAATGCATAAATACGGTATTAGGGGAAACGCTCTTAATCTATTTAGATCATACCTATCAAATAGAAAACAGGCAGTTTTTCTTAATAACAGCTATTCTGAGTTTAACACTGTCGAATATGGTGTACCTCAAGGTTCGATATTAGGACCCACTTTGTTTCTTATTTATCTGAACGATTTATTTCACTACACTTTTCCTATAAAATGTGTTTGCTTCGCAGATGATACAACTCTCATAAATACTGATATTAATCAGAATAATTTAAAAATTAAAATAGATAGTGATACCTAGAAAGCAAAAAACTGGTTCTCACATAATGGGCTAAAGCTAAATGAAGAGAAAAATCAGAATTTGATTTTTAGTTCTGATTGGAAGTATATCTTAAGAAATAGTGTTAAACTATTAGGAATCTTTCTAGACGATAATTTGGATTCTAGTGCTCATATAGATTACTTAAGTTCTAGACTGGCTACAAGTATATTTTTAATACGCAACTTAGTTTATATGATTCCTAAAAATACCCTTAGAATGTGCTACTTTGCACTATTTCATAGCCATTTACAGTACGAAATAACTGTTTGGGATAATTCTTCTTACGCAGATCGAATTTTTAAATTACAAAAAAAAAGTAGTGAGGATACTTGCAAGAGCAGAGTATAGGGAACACTGTAAACCTTTATTTCTGGATTTAGGTATTATGCCACTACCTTTATATATATATATTATTAATATATATATATATATATATATATATATGAGACGCTGATTGAAATTCATGCCAACAAAGGTAAGTTTAACATAAACTCCAACGTCCATGATCACCATACAAGATCTGGAGATGCTATTAGAGCACAACGTTTTAGGTTGACAAAGAGCATAAAAAATTCGACTGATATTATTTTGTATAACTTTTTGCCAGATGAAGTAAAAAGTCTTCACTTGTTATCGTTTAAGCTTAAAATCAAATCACACTTTTTGACACATTTTTTCTATTCAAAAACTGAGTACCTAAGTACAGCTTTTACACAATAGTACTAGTTTGGTCAGGGCAGTTGCCTATTATAATTATATTTCATGTTTTTTATAATTCCACAAAGTGTGTTTGTCGTTTTTTTTTTAACTGTTAATATTAAATATATACATGTTTGTAATGTTTAAATTATCCAAAAAAAATTATACGTTTTATATGTATTGTCACTATTCCTTTGACTAAATAAATTCTATTCTATCCTTTATGAATCGAAATGGGCAGCAGACATTACACTCCCCTCTTACGATTTGTCTTCTTAAGAGCACAGTAATAGACATGTCCATACCCTCTTACGATTTGTCTTCTTAAGAGCACAGTGATAGACATGTCCATAAAGTAGACACTTTCCTCAATCAGATGACGTACATAATCTTCATTGAGAAATATGAAATCCATAAAACTTTATCATTATGGAATTCCGAAGATAAGAGTCTAGAAAACTGTTAAATTTCTCCAAGATTGTTGGTTGATTGGCAAACCCTCAAGCAGCTTTATTGGACATCAAAATCACTCAGCTCGGCTTCAAACTACCCCTCAAAATATAGATCACTCTAAATAGAGTCTTAACAGGTTACGGAAGGTGAGGAGCGACCCGTCTTTACTTGGGAAATGCATCAGAGACCTGATTGCGACTGTGGAGCAGAATGACAGACTATGCACTACCTTGTTCATGAGTTCGAAGGTACAGCCCATGACTTCATAACAATAACTCCTAGGGCCGGATTAGAACCTATACATTAAACTGTGATTTCTCCTATCATGATTGTAATATTCCGGTTTTAAATACAGGGTGGCGCATACTATATAAGTGTTTTTTCTTCATAGAAATGAAGATTGCTATTAAAACTACAATTTACAAATAATGTAAATTATACAGGGTGCTACCAAAAAGAGTGGTATATCAAAGTTATATTTTTTCATATAAAGTACCCTATATTTGATGACCTTTGTGAATTGTCTTCAAAAAAATTTATTTTTATTTTAAATGGAAAAGACTGTATTTTATTAGTCTGCCATGAAGCAAATTTGCTTAGCTTTCAAACTATATTGGGGTTTTCTATTC